CACGATAGTGCAAATTACGAATACCAGTGCTATTAGCATCTTAGGAAGAGACATTATATTGCTTTTAGGTTTGGACAACGTCCCAATCAAATCGTTCTGTAATGTAGTTCTAGAAGACGGCGCTTTATCAAAACTTCTCCCATAATTCACGTCGGTTTTTCAGCCAGGCCTGGGTCTCTGTACGCAAGCGATAGCGCAGTTGCAGTTGAAACCTAATTCGTCTACAGTTTTTAGACCCAAACGTCCGGTACCTTACGCACTTCGCTCAGCACTAGAAAAAGAGCCATCCCGCTTGGTAGAAGCAGATATTATTTCACCAATTGTTTACTCTCAGTGGGCTGCCCCAATAATTGTGGTCAGAGAAGGAAATGTTAAAATTAAAGTTTGCTTCGATTTTTCAACGAGATTGATTGCAGCACTAGATATTCACCAATTTCCACTACCTACTCTCGATGATATCTTTGCAACGCTCAATGGCGGAACCTTCTTTCCTCATCTGGATCTCTCTGATGCTTATTTACAAGTAGAGGTTGATGAGCCATTAAAGAAATTTTGGGACTTTTCCAATTTAATCGATTACCTTTTGGTGTCAATTCAGCACCGGCAATTTTTCAGCAAATCATGTCTCAGATGATTTCAGGTTTACCTGGTGTTGTCGCATATTTGGATGATATTCTAGTTTCAGCTAAAACACGTGGAGGACACCTACAATGGTTAAGGACTGTATTTCAACGATTAAAGCTATTCGGTTTTTGCCTGCGGAAAGAATAATGCACATTTTTAGCTGAGTCAATTGAATACTTGGGTTTTATCCTCAATTCAAAAAGGATAAGTCCAGATTCAGACAAGGTTGCAGCAATAAAACAAATGCCAATACTTACGGATTCAGCAACTCTACGCTCTTATTTGGGCTTTGTAAACTATTAAGCAAAGTTTTTTCTGCAGCTTTACAACGTGAGAGCACCCTTAGAAAAACTGCTGCATAAAAATACCGAATTTCGATGGTCAGTGAAATGCCAGCAGTCTTTTGACAAGATCAAAGAAATACTATCATCTCCTTTGTCCTTAACGCACTTCCAACCTGATCAAGAATTATTTGTGGCTTTAGATGGTTCCAGTTATGGAATCGGCGCGGTTCTATTTCATCGCTTTTCAGACGGTTCGGAGAAACCGATGGCTCACGCATCTAAATCCCTTACTCAAGCTGAACGCAACTATTCCCAAATTGAGCGCGAAGTTTTAAGTATTATTTTTGCGGTAAAAAAAATTTCATCAATTACTCTGGTCCGAGAGTACCCTGTTAACAGATCATCAGCCGTTGGTTTCTATTTTTGGATCAAAGAAAGGTATCCTAGTACTTGCCGCGAGCCGCTTACAACGTTGGGCTCTATTCTTGATGAATTATACCTTCAAAATTGAATACCGCCCCACTCGTCAATTCGGACAAGCAGATGGGTTGTCTAGGTTACCACATGGATTCGACTGCAGTTTTGATGAAACGCAGTTAGCGTCTGAGAACCAGGTAAATCAGTTGCTGGGAAAGCCCGTGACCGCAAAGGATATTGCCGAAGAGACGCAGAAGGATAAGTTACTGAGTCAATTTCTCAAGTTTGTTCAGTCAGGCTGGCTTATACACGTTCGGAACCCCTTCTTTCGTCTTTATTCTCACAGGCACATAGAGTTATCAGTCGCAAACGAGTGCCTTTTTTGGGGTTTACGCGTTATTATTCCGACAACATTAAGGAACAGAGTACTGAAGAGCTTTCATTCGACACACATGGGAATTTAAAGGATGAAGTCTAACGCTCGCCAGTACTGTTTCTAGCCTGGAATTGATGCGGATATTGAGCTTCTTGCAAAAAACTGTCCAGCATGTTTAAATACAGCAAAAATGCCTCCACATGCTCCCAAGGAAGCTTGGCCAGATGCAAAGAAGCCATGGTCTTGCCTCTATGCAGATTTTGCCGAGCCTAGAAAAGGAATTTCTTTTTTGGTTTTAGTTGATTCGTATTCAAAATGGCCGGAGGTTTTCCGTATGAAGTCTTCAAATGCGAGCTCTACAATTTGAGCACTAGAAGAAGCATTCTTCAGATTCGGATTACCTAAAACACTAGTCACGGAACGGGCCTCCTTTTCAGTCTCAAGAGTTCTAAACTTTTTGTCTTGAAATGGTATTCAGCATCTCATTTCTCCAGCCTACCATCCACAAAAGAATGGGTTGGCGGAACAGTTTTCTTCAAGCGAGCTTTACATTAAATGAACACCATCAGGGACGGAGCAAAAATACGCCAGTTCTTATTTCATTATCGAAATACAGTTCATCCTGCAACGAACAGAAGACCGGCAAAGATACTTCAGGGTCTAAAACCACGCTTTGTACTTGATCTACTATTTGCACCTGCAACTTCCCAAACCGTAAACAAGAAAATGACTTTTTTGACCAAGAAGACATTTAAAGCATGTAGTAGAAAATTTCAGATGAATCAGCCTGTTTTTGCGAGAGAATACCAAGGAGATAAAAAGTGAATTTCAGCAATCATCACTCGCTGTCTTGGAAAAGTTTTGTTCAAAATTCAAGTTGCTTCAGGTCAACGGTTAACAAGGCACGTAAATTAACTACGCAGACGAGAAGTTAAAAACAGTTTGGAACTTCAAAATCCCACTGAAAAACGTCAAAAGCAAAGTGTAAATGCTCAAGGACTTTCGTATATACAGAGGCGGATAAAGGTTCAGAGCTATGCAGATTGATTAAACCAAAGAACACCTCACAGCGCCTAGTTGTTAACCCAGCTTAGAAATCCTACTATTAGTGTTTTATTTCTAATTCAGTTACTGTTTTATTTCTATTTTCAATTTTTTAAATAATGCGTTTCAGTAGAATTCTCTTTCTTTCCGCCGTACTCTGGGTAATCACCAATGGTGAGTTAGAGAGGTTGCTACCGTTGTGTCCCGGGCCCAACTAATGGGAGCCCGCACTATTGGTTGAGCACGTCTGCGGCACTCCTGTAACTTACTTGGTGCATAAGTCTTTATCTTGTTGGGGAGGTGTTGTGTCATTAGACCAAACATCATTTGCTTCAGGTGTTAGGTCAA